GACATGAAGGGAGGTGCAAACATTTAACAGTCAACAACTTGTGGGACAATGGACTTATAGGCTCATTATGTTTGTGACAATAAATGTTATTTTTCACTTTATCTATTGCCAGATGTTTCTTTGACTGTACTAGTGAAGCCTCATTCTAACATGAGTGCGTGTCGTTGCAGTGTGATGTTCCCGTCCACCTGCAGGACAACCAGAGGAAGGAGAGTCTCCGCTCGCAGACAGTGTCCATGCTGCAGGGACGAGCAGGTGACACATTCAGATCCTCATATTCAATATTGTGTGACCGATATTATGGGTTTTAAAATTTTAGTGTATAGCTTTCTTTTATATGATGATTTTAATGTAAAGTGTCTTTGAGAGTCATGAAAAGCGCTCAATAAATAAAATGTATTATTATTATTAAAGAAGTCACAGTGTAAACCCTCCAGAGAGTATTAGACAGGTTTTAGTTTGACATCCTGTCATGTGTTGCTCACCAGGTTCAGACTTTGACCCGCAAGCGCCGGCGCTCTGCTGCTACTGCAGACCATCCCCAGAAGAGGAGGAGGAGCTCCGTGGCCGGTCCTAAACCTGCTGAGACTCTTCCAAAGCCTCGGGCCACCATCCTGCCTGCAGACCTGCCGGTTGCCTCCAGCATGGCCCCCGGCCCTCCTCGACTCCACTGCACCACAACGGCCCTCTGATCCACAACCGCTCTGACGAAGAGTACCAGCAACTCCACCACCAAGTTGTGGACAATATGCGTGTGTTGTGTCAAAAATCTATCTGATGATTATCACATTTTCTAATCACTTTAGTTTTTCACTCAATTTATTCCATGTATAAACTTTTTAATCTCATGTCTTCCTCTCCTCACAGGTTCAAGAACGGCCGTCTGCGTCCGCACACCTTAAATCTGGGACGTCTCATCAAGCAGAAGGTCTGGGAGAGACTGGACCGTCCCACGTTAAAAGAGACAGTAGACAAAGACGGACGGGTGCACGTGGACGTCTCATCAAGCAGAAGCTCTGGGAGAGACTGGACCGTCCCACGTTAAAAGAGACAGCAGACAAAGATGGACGGGTGCACGTGGACGTCGCATCAAGCAGAAGCTCTGGGAGAGACTGGACCGTCCCACGTTAAAAGAGACAGCAGACAAAGACGGACGGGTGCACGTGGACGTCTCATCAAGCAGAAGCTCTGGGAGAGACTGGACCGTCCCACGTTAAAAGAGACAGCAGACAAAGACGGACGGGTGCACGTGGACGTCTCATAAGGGGTCGGTGTTCATCCTCCACATTATTTTGTGGACACTTCGGAAGAACCAAAGATCTAAGACCAAATAATGATCAAATAAGATCATAACCGTAAATATTATTGTAGTAAATGTTTAAATGTAATAGTTTAAGTTAAGTTAAGTTTACTGTTAAGTAACAGTGAATGCAGCTTTTGTTAACAATGTTTTTATTCAGCTTCAGCCTCAAAAGTTCCTGAAATAATCTTCCAGAACACAAACAGCCTCTGAAAACCAGCTAAAGCACCTTCCTCCACCCTCAACCTACAACCTCCACCATCATCCGGAAAAACAAACTATCTTAACCTGCTGCCCCCAAAACGACTAACCCACCTCCACCTTCAACCTCTGCCAGCAACCTGCACCTGCTGCAGATTCTGGCCGACAGCTGAGGTCGAACATCCACCTACAGGGGGGGGGGGGCAATTATTTTTCCCAAGGGGCCACATGAGAAACAGGGACTGTTGTGGAGGGCTGGACCAATAGACTGAACTCAATCCTGCTCAATATTATTCCACCTCTTTATAAAAAGCAGTACATTGTATGGTCTTGATGAGCTGCGAGTGGTAAGAGTACATTTTATGATCAGTGGTGGAATGTAACTAGTATATTTGCTTAAGTACTGTACTTATGTACAAATTCAAGGTACTTTACTTGAGTATTTCTATTTTATTCAACTTTGTACTTCCACTCCACTACATCTCAGAGCAGCGTCGGAAATACACGAGGGCAAAGGGCAAAACTGCCCCTAAGAAATATAAATTTGCCCCTGATATCACCACGAGAGAGTGGCAAAAAAATGCTCCCATAATTTCCTCTAATAATAATGATAATTTAATGAACTTGTGAAAAACATCGTCGCCTATACGACTACATTATTCAGTTGCCATATCATTTTTTTGATTTTTGCCTTGACTGATGTCGCGTGTGCGTGAAGAACCGAACGTTCTAAACAAGTAAATAAATGGAGCGCTTCTTAATCAGACCTGTGACTGCGAGACTGCGGTCAACTCAGCAGACACTTCCATGTTAGTGCACCTATATGCTGAAGTTCACGGTAAACACATTCACACCGTCAATTAAGATATTTTACTAAGTAAAAACTCTGAACTGAATTTGTACCTTCAAATGGCACATTTTTTAAAATTTTAAGGTGCTTTAGAAATGTGTTTCTCGAAAATTCCACACAATGACTAATGCATAAGTTCAGGACAAAAATGGGTAATATCACAATATTTGAGGTGCTACAAAAATATCTTTCTCAATAATTCCATACAATGACTGATGTATATGTAATCAAGGCATCGTTGACTTAATAATTGTTAATAGTTGTTTAAAAAAAATGTAATAATAATAAATAAACAAATAAATAAGAATAAAATTGAATATGATTGTCTGATTTATGTTTGTTTTTTGTTCAAAAAAATCTAAGAAAACACTTTGAATCTGTAGACTACTGTAGTCTTATTATTGCCATTTGATGACATTTGCTCATATACTGTAAGCCTAAAGTATATTTATTATTTTAAACAAAGGTTAAATGTTATTTCAAAAGTTTAAAAAAAAAGTGCATTTGGGAGCATTATCCACACCTGCACGTGAAGGGAGAAGAAATCATGTGCATTTCACTCTCAACTGTTTTAAAGTCTTGAAAACTCACCATGCAGTGCCCCTAACATGGATGATACCTGTGGAGGTGTTCAACTGATGGTGTGGCTTCTTTCAGGGTGTGCAGCTGGGTGAGAGTGTTATCTGCATCTGGCTTGAAAGAAACTGCAACTTTGTCATGAAAGCCTTCACCAGGCTGTACATGTGATGTGCAGAGAGGCCCTTGCCTTGCAGTTTGGTATTCAGATCATTCATTAGTGCAGTCACATCAACAGCAAATGCAAAATCTGTCATCCAGTTTACATCGGAGAGCTCTGGGATGTCCTTGCGTTTCTTCTCACAAAGCTCTTGAATCTCTGCTCTCAGGTCCCGAACTCTTCTACGCACTTTGCCCAGGCTGAGCCACCTGCCAGCTGTGTTCAGTCTCATGCTCCTCCAAGAGTGCAACAAACTGTCTGTGATTCAATGCTCGTGCCCTGATGACGTTAACTATTTTAGTTACAACATCAATAACATGGTTAGGTTTGAGCACATTCTGATGTATAATGCAATACAAAAATACCAAGTTCAGTTCTGGGTTTACTTCAGTCACTTTATCTTGCATCCGCTTCAAAAGTCCGACATTTCTCCCGTCAGATTTGGACAACCATCGGTTGTGACACGTGCCAGTTTGTCCCATTTCAGTCCCAGCTTGTGGGAGCATGCATCTACCTCCGTGAACAAATCACTCCGCGTCGTCCCTTTCATTGCTAGCGCCTCTGTAATCACGAAGTCTTTCGTTATCCCACGTACAAAGATGAGTAGCTGGGCTGTGTCGCGGACATCGCAGCTCTCGTCCAGAGCCAATGAGAAAAATTCGAACTGGTCTGCTTTTTTTTTTGCAGCTGAAGCTCCAGATTTCCCGCGATGTCCTCGATCCTCCTCGTGACGGTGCGCCTGGAGTCAATTTTGTGGGATATCACAAAGCTGGTCTTGGCGGCTGCATCCCTGGATGTGTGAAGTTTGGTAAAAAGACCTTGTTGCTTTAGCAGCTTAGCTAGCAAAGCCTCAGACGTCCGTTCCCGCTCTGCATCCGTCAATCTTTCGTATTTCTCCGCGTGTTCCTCTGGTAATGACGATTCAAATTGTAATCCTTCAACACTGCGACTTGTTCTCCACAAACTAAGCACGCGGCTTTACCTTTGACTTCAGTAAAGAAATACTTTAAAGTCCATGTTTTGTTAGAAACTCTGTGTCAGTCTTTCTTTTTTAACACAGGCTGACATTTTTGAGGGCTAACCGCTAACCGCTAACTCACATCTCCCGTAAACTCAGTTCGCCAACACATTGCAGTAACGCTGCTGCTCGCACACGTTCACTAACGTACGTAAATAGAGAAGAAAAAAAACAACAAAAGTCGCCTTCAAAATAAAAGCAATGCAGGCTGTGGCCCGCGGGCCGTACAATGCCCAGGTCTGACTTAGAGTAATCATATAATTATAATTATAACAGTGATGATGATACATTATGAAAATAATACAATGTATGACAATTATAATACGATATGATCCTTGCAAAAGCGAAATGTCAGTGAATGAATTATGAAATATTATGACACTTGACCTTATAAGTCATTCGAAAACGCTCTATAATGCGTCACTAATATTGTTATAAAGCATTCTGAATATTCATGAGTGCTACTAACCATAACTATGCAGTGTTAAAAGCAGATTATAAAACATTATAAGCATGTTTATAAAGCATTATAGATATTGACCTCGTAGAAAGTGCTCCCAATACATTCTTAAGAATATTTCTAAATGACTTGATTATGATTTTATAAGTACTAAATATAAAAAGGGAATGTAAGTATGTTTTAAACTACCTTTTGAATGCCTATGTTGCGTGGATGCTCCAGAAATAATTTGTTATTTGGTGTTTTTATAAGATCTTGTCCAGGGTATGTTGACTTTTTAGATATATTATGAGAAATATTAATTTCCCCAGAAAACCTCCATGCCGTGGAGTTAACCCTATCTCCATGAAAAGCTGCTGGCTGGTCTTCATCAGCATTGATGATGTTAGACGCCAAACTCAAAAGGTGAAGACAGAAAGAAGCAGATGCAGTCGCTGCTAGGGTAGAATGTTTATTAGAATTTGCGATTAGCGATGATTAGCGAGATTCACCTACATGGTGCAAAAGGAAGTCATAAATATGCTAATATGCAAATATGCACGCCTTAATTGACATGAGCTCATCTCATCACGGGTTTCCTTTGATATATCAAAGGAAAAGTCAGTGGTACACCTCCACGTGCTGAACAGGGCAGAATGACAGTAAACCAAAGTAGAAAATCAGCAACAGAGTTTATATCAAATATTTAGTTACAAATTAAAAGACATTTCAAAAAAGTTAGAAGAGCACTGGATATTCAGATAGTGAAGCCAAACAAAGAAGAAATAAAAAGCTTCATAATGCACTGCACTGCACCCGTAATAGTCGTGTGTTTCTTTTCGTCCACATGGAGCTACAGTACTAAGTTGGCAGAAAAAGGTGCATGGCTTTTGTATTCAAATGAGTTTTCATCTGAAACAATACAGGGAGATGATCACGTGTGGATGCATTCATTTTACACTTATACACTTATGAATCAATGAATACGACAATCAACAGAACCCAGTGGTTAAGAGGTCAGTTTATGAATAGCTGTCAAAACTTGGCAACATTGAGATTCTGTTAGAGGAAACAAAGAAAAGAGAGTGTAACGTATAGAAAAGAAAGCAACGATAAAGTTGTATCCTGTACCAAAGTGGTGTTGTGATATTTAAAAGCATGTCATGCTCCATTAGTGAAGTCCTTTTTAAAAGTGGGAGAAGCCGTCCCACTTGTTTGACTATTCGAATGGCAGCCATTTTGGGTCTGGCCTGAGCTTGATGTGCGGGAGGAGAGAGGGAGAGCTCAGCGAAAGGCAGTCGTCATAGTTGAGGTGAGTACAATGATGTCGATGGTGAGGATCCATGGTTGATAATGGTAAAAGATGGGAGGTCATGCAGCTCGGGGCCCGAGGCGAGGAGGGTTGGAAAAGAGATCTCTGTCCCACGCGGCCCCTGGCCTAGCAGTGCTTTAGGTAGGACACAAGACTGGAGAGGAACAACAGTGGATAATAATACAGATAAGTCTCTACTGGAAGAGATATAATAAAGTTACTTTAATGTAATGATTCTTATAGCAGAATGAGGAAGTTCAATTTTGCAATAACTGAATGTACAATGTGGCAATAGTCCAATCAGAGATGATCATACTGTCATTTTCACTAATGCGTTTACTTCTTTTGTCTTCCCTAAACTGTGTGGCTTTATATTTAAACTCATGTTGTTGTTTTACCTTTCAATATGTAGTCGGTTAGCAGTGTAGGCACCTTCTCACTGTCCTCCTTCATGGCATAAAGAACTAATAGGAAGAAAAACAAGATGGATCAACTCTTTTCAGCCAGTAATTGTTAGGATTTACCCTCGGTACAAACATTCTGGGCTGCATACTTACTCTTTGTGAGCATCTGCAGGTCGTCAACAGATGGAGGGGAAACTTTCTTCTCGTATGGAATAACTGTGTTTAGATACTGAAAACAGAGAGGTTCAACGTTCAGAGATGTCGACACAGTACAACCCGAGTACTTCAAGAAATATTTAGTGGGATCAGAGTCAGAGTGAGATGAAAAGATCCATTGCAGTCTCATATCTGTCTGTTCAATAGACTGTTAGGCTAACTTAACTTAGCTTTCAGACTGGAAATGGGGCAACAGCTAGCCTGTCTTCAGTTCTGAGGTTAAAGAATCTCACCTATGAACTGTGCTTATGAGCTCTCCTTCATTTCAGAGTGAGTCTTGACGGTTCAGTACCAGGCACAGTCCTTTTTTCAGTGTTTATGCTAAGCTAAGCTAATTTAAGTGAATATGTAAGTGAATTTCCCAAACAATTCCTGTCAGTAAAGCATGTCAGTCTGTACACTGAAATCAACTGACTGGGAGGTTAAAGGCACATTCATGATCTAAATGTACACATAAACAGATCCCAGACTCCAAAATACTAAGCACAATATTCAAACCTGCTATCACAACGTATTGTTTGGTCTTTTAAAGCTATAGTGGGTTATGTATTTTAGAAACCATTTTTGCTGATATGTATTGAAATGATATCCCAACAACAATCAATAAATCAAAAAAAAAGAAACAAAATCTTGAGTTGACAACACTGGGCTGGGTTTTTAGGATGGATCGTTTTAAAGATCTAGCGTAACTACTAAATCTAAGTTACAACTTGCTGTAAAATGATGCTGCTTTGTTTACATCCAGTAATGCCTGCAAAGACTGGAGCAAAAACAGACTTGCTGTATATTTTCAATAACAATCACATGAGAAACAAAAACTGCTGAATTAATTTACAAGTCAAAAAAAGCAAAAGCTGGGACGTTTCTTGCAGTGTACTGTAGCATATTGCTAACACTATCAACAGAGATCAAATTATGTACAGTAGACCAACCATCTCTCTGTATGACCTCATCTTTGCATTGGACAGGGGCAGTGGTGTACATATACTACTGCACTGAGGCTCGTGACCTTAAAGGGCCAGTGCACAGGCTGCCACAGCACAGCTGGTACAGCCCCTTCCTGCTGTAAATGAGTTACACTGCAGCTGTCTGCACTAACCTCACTATATTCAAGTAGTACTACTTTACAGTAGCAGTTTATTATATATCTTCAGTCTGTCATGGAGGTACATGTTTCTTTAAAACTGCAGCCACATTTTCAGATACATATAGCTATAATTAATAAATGACCTGCGTAGGTTATTCAGTTGAATCATCTGTGGGCATGTGTTTTTTGATTAACTTCATCATGGTAAGTCATTGTTAGGAAACACAGTTGTCCAAAGTCGAGTGTCTAACCATTGTGATTGCATTACATGATGAACTAGCATGTGACCTCTGACCTTACCTGTTTCTCATTCCCTGTGCTTCCAAATGTCTGTCTGATGCCCGTCTGCAGGATGTTAGACAGTCCCTCCATGCTGAAACGCTGCCGGTCACAACCAGGACACAGACACCGAGCATTAATATGACGTACTAATCATCACCTCCTTCACCGAGCTGATCTTTTACAGTACAGACCTCGCAGCACCTCACACAAACATGACATCACGGTGAGATGCTATTTGCTTTATTGTTTATCTTGCATCTGCGTCATTTAGCCATCTGTATATTCATATTACTTTAGTCATGCGGCCTCAGGTACCCAGCAGTCACCACAGAAAAACACTGCTGCTGCAATGCATGGCGGGAAAGTCCATTAGATAGACTGGACTGGGCTGTTACTGTATGCAGACCAATGGTCACTTTAGGATCTTTCCTGGAAGATACTTAAGAGGCTAATGGTCCTGAGATCCATTATGCTAACAGTCAGAGGGAGGGGGGGTGGGGGGGGGGGGGGGGGGGAGTTGTCAGGCACCTTGGTTTCACCTTTTTCTAATTTAACTCAGTGAAAACCACAGTGCACATTGGCACAACACCATAGTTGTGGCACAGTTAACATTGATGAGAGCAAAACTCTTGTGTGAATGGACTTAAAGTAAACACACTGACATCATATAAATAATTCAAAGGTGTGTAAAGCATACAAGGCCACCCTTCCCTGCCTCTCACCTTGACAGGCATGCTCCCTGTCTTCTCCGTGTTGCCCGTGGAGGTGGTATTCCCTCCGTTCACAGGTGCCGGCATCCCCCCCTGCAGGCTCAGGGCCTTGTCCCGGCGTCGGCGTTTGCTGCTGTCCCGTTGCTCCTTCTGCCTGTTCTGCACCTCCATCAGGGCCGTGATGAATGTGTTCTTCACCTCTTTCTCGAACTCCAGCTCCTCACGGCGAGCCAGCTGGCTGACCAGCTCCTCCGAGTACTCCAGGATGGCGGCCTCTACCCTTTGCAGCAGTTCGTCGAGCGCCGAGCTGGGCATCAGGCTCAGGCCTGCAGAGAAGATGGGGGGGGGATGGTTGGGTTTTATTTTGTTTCTTACACATCGGTTCAGACATAATGCTCTAAATCATTGGAGCAGTAGTTTGGTACAAGAGTGCAACAGGACTTATCAACAAAAACTGTCTTTACTAACAACACTATTTGGTCTCTCTGACTCTGTGGCATTATCATTCATTTACAACAAAGACCAAGAAAGGTGGTAACAGCGGTTTCACATGAGTCATTCCAAACTCTTTGTTGTCTTTTTGTCACATATTATATGTTCATCATGTGGGCAGTTCATTCACAGGGTGATTTTAACTTTACAGATTGTTTCATTGGAATCATTTGTAAAGGCTCCCGCTGCAGTGTTTGATAAGGAAAAGGAAAAGATTTGAGATTTATCTCATGACCCCACGGAGGGTCCCAGTCCTCAGGTTGAGAACCACTGACATTATCAGGTAATAACTCATGCCACTTAATCAAAATTGGAACTTGTATCATTATTAAAATGGTTCCATTGATTTGAAATAATGTTACAGTTCATATACAGTAGCCTACAGTACAGAGTATACAATAGGCTTAGACTCTCAATCTTTGCTGCACTAAAATGTTGATCAAGATTTATCTATTCATTTTTTAAAATCAAGCCAGTTGTGTGTTAAAATGAAAACAATGTATTTTGTCAACATTTCTGGATTTGTTGCATTTTTAAGTAACAAGCAAGTAAGTAAGTTATTTCTATTGCACGATTCAAAACCAGAGGTACAAGGTGCTTTACATGTGCACATTCATTACAACATGAATTTCAGGGAATGGTTATGTATAATAATTGTAAATACAATTAACATAATCAGCACAATATAATTATATGGTAAAGTATCTCTCTCTCTCTCTCTCTATATATATATCTATATCTATATATATATCTATATATATATCTATATCTATATATCTATATATATATCTATATATATATATCTATATATATATAGATATATATATATATCTATATATATATATCTATATATATATATCTATATATATATATATAT